TGGCATCACAGCTCATAGCAACCTCCAACTCCTGGGCTTAAGCCATTCTCTTGCCTCAGCCTCCCAAGTAGCTGGAACCACAGGCGCCTGCCACAACGCCCAGCTAATTTTTGGTTGTAGTTGTCATTGTTGTTTGGCGTCCGGGCTGGATTCAAACCCTCCAGCAATGGTGCATGTGACTGGCCTTAGCCACTTGAACTACAGGCGCCAAGCCTGTTCCAAGCCATTTCTATACCGACATGTCTTCCTAGCTAGGTGAAGGCATAAACGGAAGTGTGAAAAGAAGAGTGCAAAGGCATGCTCTTCCTTACAGGTAAAGACTGGGAATGCGCTGATTGGTTCAGCTTAACATATATCCGGTGAACCTCTGGAAATGATTCAGAATCAGTATCTGTCCCCAGGGGCTTCTAAAGAGGAGACACATGCCTGAGATGAAACGTAAAAGCTGTGGCATCTCTGAGCTTGGGCCCCTGAACATCCGTTCACTGTAGGAGTGTTACTCAGGGCTGCTCTCTGTATGACTGGTGTCTTACAGAGGAAGGGGACCTGTACACAGATCGATGCAGAGGGATGGCCACGAGAAGACACAGCAAGAAGGCGGCCAGCTAGATTTCAGGGAGGGAGGATAGGAACAGATTTTTTCTTCACAGCCCTCAGAAGGCAACCCTGCTGACACCTTGAGCTTCAGCCTGAGGATGGAGCTGGCACAACGAGGGGAGTGGGAGATTGGGGTGGGGGGGTTCCTGACGACATCAGGAACTGCTGCACCATCTCCCTGAAGTCGTCCCAGCCTGTGGACCCCGATAGAGGACACCAGGACGTCCTACCGTCTGACTTCAGTGTCTGTCTCCGTCATTTTACTGAGAACGGTAGAGCGGCTGACTCCAGCACCGCGGCCGACAGACGCGTAGACGGAGGGCTCAAGTACCAGCAGTGAGGACGCCTGGGTTCCGTATCCAGGTCCAGAATTAGTACTAATCAGTGGGGGGCTGTGGGGGAGCTGGAACAAACACTTTGGTTCTAACCGAATCTCTCATATACAAAAGACAAGAAGCGTGGAATACGGACTCCAGTGACCTTCCTGTCTGTCACTCTACCTTCGCTTCCGGGCAGTGGAAAACACCAGGGCTCCCGGAGCTTTCCTCTCTTCCTCCTGTTTCTTCGTACCTGCTTTCCTCCGGAAGTCAGCTTCAGGAGAATTTCCCTTTCAGAATCAGGTCTTGCAGTCCCCCCAGACACTGTGGGCTACCAGCCTTTTTTTCCGCTTTAGGACGCTTTCCCATCGGAGTCTGGTTGCGGAGGAAGTTCACAAAGAGCAGCTGGCCCCGTCTGCCGCCCCTCCCCCCCTCCGCCCCGGACTACCCGCGTCTGCCGCCCCTCCTCCTCGCTCGCCCCCCTC